TTAAACTGATAACAATAGTACTAAACACACCACTCACTCACTGGTGTCACAATAGCTTGGATTTAAAAACAAAACTTTTTTTTCACTGTTATAGATTGAATAGCAGTTAGTTATCTTCAAGCAGGTGTGTCAGCCCTACAGCGTGTACTCTGCCAGTTTACAGTGCCACTCATATCATACCACCTGAATGCCGTCATTGCAGAGCTCTGCAGTGTGGCATTTTTTTTGTGTGCCTCTGACAACAGCGATGCCATTTGCAACCTGTGCCAAAAGAAACTGAGTCGTGGGAAGTCCAGCACCCACCTAGGTACAACTGCTTTGCGTAGGCACATGATCTCACATCACAAACGCCTATGGGATCAACACATGAGTACAAGCAGCAAGCCTACTCTAAGCCGCCATCCTCCTCCTGGTCCAGCATCTTCAGCCACGTCAACCACTGCTGTCCTCCTTGCCCCCTCTCAACCATCCGCCACTCCGTCTCCCGCCTTGAGCAGTTCCCGCTCATCTTCCATAACCTCCTCTAATTGGAGTCCTGTTCTGTTGCGTTGCTGTGTATTGCTCCACATCAACGGATAGCGAATATGATTAAACTGATAAATAATAGTAATAAACACACCACTCACTCACTGGTGTCACAATAGCTTGATTTAAAACAAAATTTTTTTTTTTTTCACTGTTATAGATTGAATAGCAGTTAGTTATCTTCAAGCAGGTGTGTCAGCCCTACAGCGCGGTAAATTTCGCCAGTAATGCTGCCACCTCCTCTACTCCTCTTCTACTCCATCCCTTCCTTCCATAACCTTGGGTTTAGTCCTCTTTCTGCTGCTGCCTTTGCTCCACATCAACGGATAGGGGCGAATATGATTAAACTGATAACAATAGTACTAAACACACCACTCACTCACTGGTGTCACAATAGCTTGGATTTAAAAACAAATTATTTTTTTCACTGTTATAGATTGAATAGCAGTTAGTTATCTTCAAGCAGGTGTGTCAGCTCTACAGCGTGTACTCTGCCAGTACGCTGCCACCTCCTCTACTCCTCCTACTCCATCCTCTTCCATAACCTCCTCGGCTTAGTCCTCTTCTGCTGCTGCGTCTTGCTCCACATCAACGGATAGCGGGCGTAACAGTGATTAAACTGATAACAATAGTACTAAACACACCACTTCTATCTGGTGGCACAATAGCTTGGATTTAAAAACAAAAAACTTTTTTCACTGTTATAGATTGAATAGCAGTTAGTTATCTTCAAGCAGGTGTGTCAGCCCTACAGCGTGTACTCTGCCAGTACGCTGCCACCTCCTCTACTCCTCCTACTCCATCCTCTTCCATAACCTCCTCGGCTTAGTCCTCTTCTGCTGCTGCGTCTTGCTCCACATCAACGGATAGGGGGCGTAACAGTGATTAAACTGATAACAATAGTACTAAACACACCACTCCTATCTGGTGGCACATTAGATTGCACGCAGTGCCCCAAATTTGTTGTGATCTGTGAGTAAGGTAAACGGTTGTCCATACAAGTAGGTTGCAGCTTTTTGAGGGCCCACACCACCGCTATGCACTCCTTTTCAATGGCAGTGAATATACTTCGCTGTGCAAAAGTTTACGGCTTAGATAAGCCCCGGGTTGCTAGCCACCATCTGCTCCGACTTGGCTCAATACTGCTCCCAATCCAAGCATAGAAGCGTCTGTATGGACGAGAAAGTGTTTAGTTGGATCAGGAGAAGAAAGTACAGGTGATTTAATGAGCGCCGTCTTGAGCTGTTGGAAGGCCTGTTCACACTCTGGGGCCCATACTACTATCTTGGGGAGGTTTTTACACGTTCCTATATGGCACTTACTGGGCTTTAGGGTCAGTCCGGACTCCCTAATCCGGTCTATTACGGCTCCTATGTGGGTCAGGTGTTCGGGCCAGGAGATGCTAAAAATGTCTATACCATCCAAGTAGGTGTATCAGTGTGTATCAGGGATCCTTAGGACAGGTGTCAATCCATATCTGCCAAGTGACCCTATGTTGGGGTAACATTCCCTATTCTGATCTGTGTCAGTGTGTATCAGGGCTCTGAGGACAGGTGTCAATCCATATCTGCCAAGTGACCCATGTTGGGTAATATCTCCCCATTCTGCTCTGTGTCAGTGTGTATCAGGACCACTGATAGGAGACGTGGAAGGTATTAAAACTGATCAGAACAATACTAAACACACCACTCCTATCTGGTGTCACATTAGCTTGACCGCGCAGTGCCCCAAATTTGCAGTAAGAGGACCGACCAAGCCTCTTCTTCCATCTCCCTGTTACAAAAATCAATGCCGTGTATAGGACCACTGATAGGGAGACGCGAAGGTATTAAACTGGATTGCATCTCAATACTACCACCACTTCCTATCTGGTGGCACATTAGCTTGACCGCTACAGTGCCCCAAATGGAATTAAGAGGACCTACTCAAGCATCTTCTTCCATCTCCCTGTTATGAAATCACTGCCATATCCATACAAATTGCAGTACAGAATGTCCAGGATAGTTTTCTCTAGGACAAAATGTTGTCGCCTGTTGGAATTTTATGTGACCTTGCTCGGGTCCTAGGTGTACGGTTCCTAAAATGGCTACCATATACACGTCCACTGATAGGAGACGCGGAAGGTATTAAACTGATCAGAACAATACTAAACACACCACAAATAAGGTTTCTCTCCTGTATGGCTCCTCAAATGATGCTTAAGATTAGAAGCGGCTGAAAAGCATTTCTCACACTCCGAACAAAAATATATTTTTTTAACATTCTCTCCACTTTGAACGAAATGACGTTTGGGAAGAGATTAACATAATTAAACACAGGCAGTAAAAATACGGTTTTTAGCCATACCCTGTAACTTTAAAACTACACATCCCATCTTCATAATTACATATTTGGAATCAGCACACTTAAAACATAAACATAACCAAAAATCAGCCAAATCCATCCAGGGGTTAAAAAGTTAGCTGGAGGTCCCTTTATGACCGACTGCAAGCACATTTTCCTGCCCAAAACAGTTCCATAGATTTGGGCTGTGGTCGGTCTATTTCAGGCTGAAAAAAAGACTAAGTCCCATCGCCGAATGGGACTTAGTCTCTGCAGCTGAAATAAGGCTGAAAAAAACGGCTGAAAAAAAGACTAAGTCCCATCGCCGAATGGGACTTAGTCTCTGCAGCTGAAATAATTTCCCATTTACTGAACCAAGTGGGAAATAGCAAGGCAGGCACAAAGGGTTTGCACCAGGTCTGGGGACACAGGGGACACCGTCTTAAAGGGGCCGTGTCCCCAACAAGTCTGGGGACACGGCCTTAAAGGGGCAGTGTCCCAATCTTCCTGATGTCCCAAAAAAGGTGTTTAAAGGGCCAGCACCAGTCACATAAAGAGTCCATAAGCCCCAATATGCCCACCGACAGTCTTAAAGGGCCATACACACCAAATAAAAGTGCATACATTTTCACAATCTCCCAGGGGCCATAGTCATGCGGGAGGAGGCTGGCAAGTAGGCTTCTCCACAACCCAGGGAAGCAGGGCAATTTGCCATTTAAAGGGCCCGTTACAAATAGCAGTTTGTAACAAGGTGTCAATCCATATCTGCCAAGTGACCCGATGTAGGGGACCAGTCCCTATTCTGCTCTGTGTCAGTGTGTACCAGGGAACCTTAGGACAGGTGTCAATCCATATCTGCCAAGTGACCCGATGTAGGGGGAACAGTCCCTATTCTGCTCTGTGTCAGTGTGTATCAGGGATCCTTAGGACAGGTGTCAATCCATATCTGCCAAGTGACCCTATGTAGGGGACCAGTCTCTATTCTGCTCTGTGTCCGTGTGCATCAGGGGCTCTGAGGACAGGTGTCAATCCATATGTCAAGGTGTCAATATGTCATATGTCAGGTGTCAATCCATATTGATTGTGATTTAGGAATGTTAGGTGATTTCTGCCCTTTATGGATTAAAACCAGACTCTGTATCAACTGTGTAATTTTCCATGGGAGTTTTGCCATGGATCCCCCTCCGGCATGCCACAGTCCAGGTGTTAGTCCCCTTGAAACAACTTTTCCATCCCTATTGTGGCCAGAAAGAGTCCCTGTGTGTTTTAAAATTCGCCTCCCCATTGAAGTCAATGGCGTTTCGGGCGGTTCGCCGGTTCGCGAACATTTGCGGAAGTTCGCGTTCGCCGTTCGCGAACCGAAAATTTCGGGTTCGCGACATCACTAATAGGGAATCTAAAGTTAGTTAGTGCTCAGACGAGCTAGGTTTTTGTTTACAGGGATTTTGTTACATTATTGTTTTTTTCATTTACTGCTGTCTCCTGTGTGGATTTACAAATAAAGTGCCTGGAATTAATTTACTTTTAAAGACTGTGCATGTTTGTACCCAAAAGGACCGTGCTAACTGCAGACCAGGATCACACTACCTTAAGCTTTCTTTTAAAACCGTTCAGTTGGGCATTCTCTTAATTCCACCATTCGTATTTTTTTTGTAAACCATAAGTCTTGCTACAGGGTTCACCGTTCCTTTCAGCAGGTGCTGAATTTCACTTCATTCGTGCAGGCTTTTCTGTTCGGTTTTTCCTGCACTTATTAATGAATATGTGGTTTGGTTAAATAAACTTGCTTTTCGCGGTCTTTCCGCTCACTACCTTCATCTGTGTGTTTCAATGTTGTTCACAGTTCAGTACTTTACCAATGTTCTTAAATATACTGCACATTTTAAATTCACATAGCTATTCGTAAGAATTTATGTGTACTAGCCTATATAGTCTATTATAAAATTGGTCCAGTTCATCTGGGATTCCTTTTCACGATTTAATAGCACTAGCTGGTCACATAAGCCTGTTTATAATAACGTTAGGTTAAACACTATTTCAGTGCACGAGTCATATATATATATATATATATATACAAAGTGAGTACCGAGATGGCAATATATATATATATATATAAATTTAATTTTTATGTGCACCTACAGTACTTGGTATAATGGGAGAACAAATTGAGTACCGAGATGGCAATACATATATATATATATATATATATATATATAAATATATATATATATATATGTATTGCCATCTCGGTACTCAATTTGTTCTCCCATTATACCAAGTACTGTAGGTGCACATAAAAATTAAGTAGCAAACTCTGTTAAGCTGCCCTTACCCCAACAAACCCAATGTGTCTTTCACTGGAGACACTGTATGTATGGCTTTTCTACATTTATAGTAAGATAAGATAATGTGAAATTAAATATTTCAACTACACTATGCTACTGACTTTCTGTTTTTTTCACATTTCTCACAATGTAATAGTGAATACTCCCTGCATATATATCAGGAATAGAGTTACTCTAACACACAAACCGGTACACATACCGGTCCTTAGAGTGGCCAGGTTAGTACCTGAGACAGATATATGAAATATCTGCAAAAAGATAGAGAATAAATCAGAGTCAGGCTGAGGTCAGGATTACAGAAAAACACGAAATCAATAGCCAGTCCATGATCAGGATAACAGAGAACAAGGATTGTCAAACAATTGAGGTCAGAAAACAGGAAATCCAATACACTGTATAAACACACTCTCAGGTAGTTAGAACCACAACAGGGCAAAGAAACAAAGACAACCAGGAAGTATATATACCCTATACTGGGTTGTTACATAGTTACATAGCTGAAAAGAGACTTGCGTCCATCAAGTTCAGCAGTCCTCACATTTGTTTTTTGCTGTTGATCCAAAAGAAGGCAAAAAACCCAGTTTGAAGCACAATTTTGCAACAAGTTAGGAAAAAAATTCCTTCTTGACCCCAGAATGGCAGTCAGATTTATCCTTGGATCAAGCAGTTATTACCCTACATTGAAAGATTATATCCTTGAATATTCTGTTTTTGCAAGTATGCATCTAGTAGCTGTTTGAACGTCTGTACGGACTCTGATAAAACCACTTCTTCAGGCAGAGAACTCCACATCCTTATTGTTCTTACAGTAAAAAAACCTTTCCTTTGCCTTAGACAAAATCTTCTTTCTTCCAGTCTAAACGCATGACCTCGTGTCCTATGTTAAGACCAGTTTGTGAATAGATTTCCACACAATGGTTTGTATTGGCCCCAAATATATTTGTATAATGTTATCATAGCCCCTCTCAGGCGATGTTTTTCTAAACTAAATAGGTTTAAATTTGTTAACCTTCCTTCATAGCTGATATGTTCCATGCCTTTTATTAATTTTGTAGCCCACCTCTGCACTCTTTCTAGTGCTATAACATCCTTCTTTTGAACAGGTGCCCAAAATTGCACAGCATATTCAATATGTGGTCTTACCAGTGATTTAAGAGGCAAAATGATATTCTCGTCCCGAGAATGAATGCCCTTTTTCATGCATGACAATACCTTACTGGCCTTGGCCACTGCTGATTGACATTGCACATTGTTGCATAGTTTATTGTCTATAACAATTCCCAAGTCCTTTTCGTGTGTTGTTATCGCTAATTCGCTTCCCTTAAGGGTATACATTGCTTGTGTATTCTTTACGCCGAAGTGCATAACTTTTTCAACATTAAATTTAATTTGCCATTTGAGTGCCCAGTCCCCCAGTCTATCTAAATCCCTCTGCAGCAAAGTATTATCTTGCTCACATTGTATTATTTTACAGAGTTTTGTGTCATCTGCAAACACTGAAACATGACTTTCAATGCTGTCTTCACATCATTTATAAACATGTTAAATAGAAGGGGTCCCAGAACAGTCCCCTGAGGGACACCACTTGCCACCTCTGTCCAGCTTGAAAATTTACCATTAATGACAACTCTTTGTACTCTGTTGTGATTGGTCACAGAGGACCATGATGTCACAAGTGTATATACATAATCAAAAAGCGACACATGGGCTAAAGGAGACTAATTGGAGGGGTCCAAGTCCTATATGATGTCATAATAAGACACCAGGAAGCTAGGGATGAGAGTGTGTGTATCAGAACTCAGAAAATACATAATTCCTATGATTGCACGGTGCCGCGAGGGACAGATATCGTGACAATATATCACCAAAGATGACAGAAAGGGTAAATGTAAAAAAAAAGTAAAAAAAGGACTTTCCTCAGGCTGATGACTGAACACCAATCTCCATTCCACCCAGGTGGAAGCAAGCTGCTGATCAGCCAATCAGTAATTCCCAATTCACAAAACTGGTTTTGACCTCTTGTACCTTTTCCAAACCAGTTTCCAGAACGGTTTAACCTCTGAAGGTGAAAGGGTGGCCGGGGGCCTCCAGACACCATAACAACTTAATTTAGAGGAAGTTGTTATGTTACCTTAAGCAGCCTAAAATGTCCCCTTACGTACCCTCATTGTAGACGTTCATTGGTTAGCTGATTCATGTGATGGTCAAATTATTTTGATGAAAACAAATTGAAAATGTGACTAAATCTTTAATAAAGCAAAGTAATGTTTTGTTAAATTCATTCTGTCACATTGATTGTTTTAATCTGTTAAGTAATTTTTTAAATAGTTTTAATAATTTATTTTAATCTTCTTGGATTTGATGTGATTGTCCTTTCAGCATGGTTGTTACAAATGCAAATAAGTTCAATTATTTTACATTACCGTGCCACATGATCACACACGAAATCAAGCTGTTGACTTTTGAAATGATCTGTTCTCTATTCAAGAAGACCTGATTCACTGCAAATCATTATATTCAGTACTGTATGCTATAATTTAATAATCACTGTACTGAAAGCTGAGTGTTTTCATATAGGAAAACAAGTTTACACAAGGCATAGCAACTTTCCCTTCCTCTTTTTGTAGTACTTTGGTTTTAGGTGTCAAGTTGAGTTGAAAGCTTTTTAACGTTTAGCTCTGAAACAAAAACTTTTTAAAACTCTAGGTTATTAACTTTTCTTTTTTTTTATGGTCAGTTGAATTCCCCATACTTCTGGAAAGGTTATTTGGTGTATGGAGCACAAACACGCACTGTAATGTATTCTTAATCTTTCTTTTTTTTTATATATATATTTTTTCACACTGAAGTCCCTGCCACATGAAATGGATTGTCCCGTACTATTTTAACAATTATGTTTTTACCATTTTTCATCATGCCCTCTAGGAAGACTCTGGATTTCCAAATTCTCCAGGTCTTTCCTAGTCTTTAGAGGATCATTGTGGATTGCCAATCTTTTTCATCATTATTTGTGGGTCATATGTAGTTGTAACTACACAATCCTCAAAATGCTTGGTATCATTACCTGCACCCATGCTTTAATGTAACAATGCATGATGTTCAAAGTTGGACAAGAGTGATTTTTCTAACATGGAATAGAAACATCTAAACACAAAAGATTTAAAGGATTGTGGGTGCTAAAAGAACTCAGGTAAATGTCAAGTGATTTGAAAAGAGTTTGGCTTCTTACCATGGGATGGAGTCAGGAAGTTTCTAAAAACATTTAAAGGGACATTATAGTCACCAGAACCTCTACAGCTTAAAGTAGTTTTTCTGGTGAGTATAGTCAGTCCCTGCAGGCTTTTTGCAGTAAACATTGTATTTTCAGAGAAAAGGCAGTGTTTCCATTACAGCCTACAACTCTAATGGTCACCTCTCAGATGACTACTAGAGGTGTTTCCTGGGGCAGTGCTGCACACTGTGCATAATTGACATTCAGTGTCTCCACTCTCTGCATGAAGACACTGAACTTTCCTCATAGAGATGCATTGATGCAATCCAGCTCTACGAGGAGCTGCTGATTGGCCAAGTCAGTGTTTGGCTCCACCCCAGTCCTCCTCCTTGGCTGAGATAATCAGAATAGACAATTTCAGCAATCTAATGCTTTCCTATAGGCTGAGATAATCACTTCTGATAATGTCAGCCAAGGAGGTAGATCAGGGCAGAATCAGCAGACTGGAATAAGGTAAGATTTTACTATATCCAGGGGGTATAGATAGTGTTTTTAACACTATATGGCTAGGAATACATGTTTGTGTATTTTACACACACTCTAGAAGAAGGCATGATGTGGGCATCCGATATATAGCATGGGATAGATAATGTAGAGTTCACATGTGGAGAGAAAAACTAAAATAACATAGCCTAATTTGTATTTAGATTGTAGAAACCAATTTATCCAGGATCAAGCAAGACATTTAATTTTCGTAAAGACAATTTAAGCTTACTATTTGCATTTTTAAAAATCACACTGGTTAAAATATAAGCAGGCAAAAAATACCCACAGAAAACCAGCAGATAGATGGAGTCTTGTAAATCATGATACTAAATAATACCATCATACAGATATACAGCATATTTTTCACTTCCTACAGTGGTGAGAAAGGCTGAACTTGATGGACGCATGTCTCTTTTCAGCTGTGTAACTATGAAACTATGAAGGAAGTTTTCAGTTATCTTATTTGCCTACTTTTCCTTACTGAATCTCCTTTATATTTCTCTGTTTTTCCCTTATGTAAAGTCCAAACCTGTCTCACTGTCTTGCTTTTTTTTTTTTTTTGCTTTTTTTTAAACCAAGTATTGTAGTCTCTTTGTGGCTCCTACTATGACAGCAGCATCAGACACTTAAAACTCCATATAATGTCTAAAGCTGTCCTTATCTTATGCACTTTCTATGGGCCAAGTATGCATACACCTAGAGAGAGCATTGTTGTAGGTGATGGCAGGAATTAAGGGTGGGTTTATATAAATTCTGATTTATTTTTAATCATTAGGAGGCACTTTTGTCAGACTGTGGTGAGCCACTCATATCCATGCTAGACACTGCTAGTATTTACAGCTCTTTTCCCTTTCATCATCCTCATTTTAGCACTGACTCAGCTGAAGATCAGGAACGAGTGGAAGTATATTCAATAACATTATGTGTATGAGGATGTAGATGAATGTATGGATGTGTGAGTAGCTAGTTGTGTTTGTGTATGTGTATGCCTAGTTTTGTCTACATGCCTAAGTGTTTTGCTATTTATTTGTGTATATGTTTGTGAGGGAGAAACAGATTGTATACAGGATGGGGTTTAAGAGGATACATAAGTTATGATTGGCCTGGGGCACCACCCCACAAAAAATGACAAACAGATTTCCTGCTTAATAGGCTAGACTATGGGCT